ATGAATATAAGATGGAAGGGCTAAAACTGGTGTTGATTGTCACAAATGTGGGCAGGTCAAATTTCAGTATTAAAAAGGCAAAGACTCACAGATTTTGTTAAAAATAAATCTGTCCCTATGTTACTTGTGAAAATGCACATAAAGCAAAGCTACAAAAAACATATTAAAAATGAAAAGATGAGAAAATAGCTTGAGGAGAGTCAAACAAAAAAGGTAGAGTAATATTAGTACCACATAAAGCAGAATTCGAGGTCCCAAACCTGTCCTTGGGATCAGGGAGATAAAAAGCAGTTGGTGAGAGGGTACCAAGGTAGCCAGGATGTTAAGAAGTTAAGATTGTGGAGTGAAGGGAAGAGCAAGAAAGCAAGATAACACTATGAGCTACCTTTCTACTCAGGCACTTGCCAGTTTGTTAATCGAACAGATTGAGAGACCGAATAGCTAAAGAGAGTTAGCCGTAGTCTTACGATGTTGAGGATATAAAACTTGAAGTTCAGGGCTCCTCAAAATGGACAACACGTCAGGCTTTCATCTGGGATCATGAAAAAATACATCCTAGGTGTAAAGGCAAACTGGAAATAGACTGGTTTTTATAAGAACCTTGCCTTAAATAAACTCAATCCCTTATTGGATTAAGGGGACCTGTGCTTTAACTGCTGCTAATGCTAAAAGACTCCACTCTGAGAAAGACAGTATCAACAAAGCATCCAAACATTTTATTCCAGTGTCCAGTATTCAATTAAAAAGAATTACCAGGCATACACAGTACTCAATTTTAAAAAATTACCAGACATACCAACAGACAGAATGAAGAAAAAAAACCACAACTCAGAAAAGAGAAGTCCCTAGGTCATCCCACAACCCAGAAAATAGATATCCAGATATTTGTGATTAATATTTAAGAAAATAGATGAAGACATGAAGAATTATTCTAAAAACCTGGAATCTATAAAGGATTAAATGAAAAAATCTAGAACTAAAAGTGTAGGAATTAAAATTAAGAAAACAAGAGATGGGTCTTAAGCAGATTAGAAGTAGCTGATGAGAGGACTAGAAACAGAAGAAGAAAAGTCAGCAAAACTATCTGAAGAAATAGAAGAAAAATGTAGAAAATGTGGAAGTGTTTAACACTGCATGTTTTTACTAATATGTGGGAGCTGAATGATGAGAACACATGGACACATGGTGGGGATCAACACACACTGGGGCCAGTTGGGGTGGCGGGGAGGTGGGAAGGTTAGCATCAGGAAGAATAGCTAATGGAGGCTGGGCTTAACACCTGAGTAATGGGATGATCTGTGCAGCAAACCACCATGGCACATGTTTACCTATGTAACAAAATCCTGCACATGTACCCCTGAACTTAAAAGTTGGAGAAAAAAGAAAAAAAAAAAGAAGTGTTTGAGTTATAAAGAACTTGGGTAAAAGGTTTAGCATACATGAAATTGGAGTCCCAGACATGAGGAAGAGAGAGAATGCAGCAGAAGCAATATTTGAAAAGATGATGGCCAAGTGTTTTCTCAAAGTGGCCAAAGTCACAAGTTTAAGAATCATGCAGGATACACCATGCAGGATAAAAACAGAAACTAATTCACAATTAAGTACATCATGGTAAAGCTGCTAAAACAGAGACTGAATATTCTGAAGCAGCAGGACGTGGCACAAGGCAATGCTTCTGAAGGAATAACAATAAGACTGACAGCTGGGTTCTTATAAACAAAAAATATAAGCCTGAAATGTTGGATTTGCCACCTATGAAGTGCTGGAAAAAAGATGACTGTCAACCTAGAATTCTATACTGAGCGAAAATGTGTTTGAAATGAAAGCAAAATAAAGGTGCCTAGGATAAGAAAAACAGAAAAAACTACATGATATTCTAGAGGAAATTCTTCAGGAATGAGGAACCCAGGCAAAATCACGAAAGTGAAGAAAACAATAAACAGCAACAGGGGTTAATATGTGAGAAACACTGAATAGAATGGCTATAGTGATGTCTTATGGGTTTAAAAAAAAGACATTTAGTAAACAGGGAAAAACCTAAAAGACAACAGGGATAGATGGAGTTAAAAGGTTCTAAAGTTTTTGCACTAACCAAGAAGTGTTACAAGTAATAATTTGTTTTAGACTCGAAGGTCAATAAGGAATGTTGTAATCATTAACGTAATTTAAAACAATGGGTGAAAGCTCATAAAGGGGAATGATGGATTGACAATTCTTGATTAGTCCAAAAGAAGGTAAGAATGAAAAGAAACTAGAATATAGAACAAAAAAGAAAATAGAAAGCAAATTGTAAGATAACAGATTTAAACCCAAATATGAGTTAACATTATATGTAAAAGGACTAAATACTCCAACTAAAAGACAAAGATTGGGTTAAAAACAAAACTTTATATGCTGTTTATAAAACTTTATATGCTGTTTATAGGCTAACACTTTAAAGTCACAAAAGGTTTGAAAGTAATAGGATGAAATAAGATATATCCAAAAATGATAATCAAAAGAAAATTAACTATACTAAGATCAAATAGATATTAAGTCAAGAAGCATCACTAGATATAAAGTGGGACATTTAATGATAAAAGAATCAATTGTCTTCTCCTACCTTACTGTGAGAGATCTTTGAATGCATATCTTCTTCATCTTGGTCTATGCGTTGCCAAGCACATAATAGATGTACATTACAAGACTGGCCAAATGTGGGCTCAGTAATCCCAGCACTTTGGGAGGCCAAGGTGGGTGGATCACCTGAGGTCAGGAGTTTGAGACTAGCCTGACCAACATGGAGAAACTTTATCTCTACTAAAAATGCAAAATTAGCTGAGTGTGGTGGCACATGCCTGTAATCCCAGCTACTCAGGAGGCTGAGGCAGGAGAATCGCTTGAACCTCAGAGGCGGAGGTTGTGGTGAGCTGAGATAGTGCCATTGCACTCCAGCCTGGGCAACAAGAGTGAAACTCCATCTCAAAAAGACTGGCCAAATGGATGGATGAATGATCCTTGCCCAGCACCACCACAGCCATTCCAGCCTGCCTGCCTCCTGTGGTGATAGTCTGCCTCTGGCTCTTTCTGGCTATCTTTTGGGCAGTGGAAAGAGCATGGGCTTTGGACTCCGATTGACCCATATTGACTCCTGATTATAAGCAATATCATCCTGTGCAACTGAGTTCTCTGCAGTTGATTTTCTTTAAGGGGTTTTGTATACTACTGGGTCTGTACTCAGTGCTCAGAAACTGTTACCTTACTATTGTTATGAAGCTTGAATGAGATGGGGGAGTCAGTGTGGCTGAGAAAAAGATGGTTGACCTTCTCAGCATTTGTCTCACCAGTGGCACAGTATATTAGGGTAAGACTACGGACAGTGTATCAGGGTAAAAATAAATAGCTTCATTTGCTCCCTTTGCATTATATTCTTGATTCTCCTACTTATCACACTGACCACCCTGAAAACCTGTCTCAGTGGTCTTCAACTCTGACTGCTCCTTAGAATCACCTGGCCTCACCCTAGGCCATTAAATCAGAATGTTCCCCAGGAGTATTTCATGTGTAACTGGGAATGAGTGGTTACTGGCCCTTCACTTTCTTGCTCCTAGTAGAATGAGTCCAACTTGCACAGTCCCAGAAACTACAAGCATTTTCTAGGAGCAAAAACTGTTTCCTAAGGACGGTGCAGAAAGAACAGGGCTTGGTGCTGGAAGTTTAGGGTCCTAGTCTTGCTGCAAGTTGGAGATACGACCCAATAAACCACAATACCTCTGTACTCTGGTTCCCTCATTTATCAAATAAGCACCATAGAATCTTCTGTCTCAAACTGTAATGGGAAATTTAAAACAGAATGTAGGTAAGACTTTTTAAACATTTGAAAGCGACACAAGTGTGATTTGTTAGTGTTTCCATCAGATGTTCCCATCAGAATTCAACAGAATCCTCATTGTGCTGCTTACTGGCTGTGGGGCTTTGGACGGCTCATTTTGCTTTTTGAATCTCAGTTTTTCCTCTTCTATAAGATGGAGCTACCTGCTCTTCAAATTGCATAATAGTTCCCATTGCTAGCAGCAAAGTAAACAATGGGAACTAAAAAACACAAGATATTGTATCATTGTGTTGGCTCTTATTGGTACTATTATCCATTGCTGTGGATAAGCTCACTCAAGCCCTTGATTTCAAGCGGTAGAATCTCATAGTCTCTCATATTAGCAGAGGCTGGCACCAGCGTGGCCATAAGCAGGTGCAACACTCCTGCCTGACAGGCTTTTGGATTTTAAAATGAATATCAGAGAATCGTTGGTTACCAACCAAGCTGCCGAGGTTAACAGATACAATGCACTTCACTGCCTGAGACCTGCCCCCTTAGCTTCCCTTCCCTTGGCTTTTCTCACTGTTAGGTGTGTGACAGAAGATCAATACTGGCAACAGATGAATGTATGTGATCAACTTAACAGAAGCGGGTTGAAATCCTTTGGTGTGTGGTATCATAAAAGGAGGAAGGTCATTAAGGACACCGGGGCAGACTGAGAAGCAGCCTTGCCCCAAAGCAAATCTTGGCACTTTCCTCTGGCCCACCTTTCCCCTCCAAGCTTCAGCACATGGTACCTTTCTCTAGAGCCCAGAGGCTTTATGTTCTCTAACACAGTGGTCTGCATCTTTACGTTGACCGTAAGTCCAGTGATTATAAAAGTTGAGGTCTTTGGGAAACCCAATAATTAGAGTCGTGGATTTGAAAGTAAGAAATAGGGAAAACACAGTTATTTCTGATTTTTTTTTTGGCTCTACTGTTTATAGTCTTGCCTGTGCAAAGCAATACAAATTGATGTTGTCAGCCAGTGACATAAACAGATTTTTGTTTCCTGAAGCGAATCTGATAATTACGATGTTACGTATCTTGTACTACCCAAAACAGTAGATTGAGGATGTCAGGTTTCAGTACAACAAAATGGAACAAGTCTTTTCAGAAAGCACGAACTGTCATTTCAAATGAGACTCTGAAATATGTTCCCACTTACCTACTGATATGGTCCAAACAGCAATGATTTTCAGAAATGCCTTAGTTCTGGAGTTGAAGCGGCTGTGGTGGATGGGATTCTGGATGGCGACGTAGCGGTCCAGCGAGATGGCGCAGAGGTGCATGATGGAGGCCGTAGAGAAGAGCACGTCTAGGTAAATCCAGACCGCGCAAAGCTTGCTGGGCAGAGGCCACCGGTACCCTACGAGGCAGAAGGTTGGTGTCAGTGAGCAACCTTGTGCCTCCTGGAGCATGCGGATCCCTACCCTAGGACAATTTCCAGCTCTGGGACAGGCACAGGTGATGGCAAAGGACAACACAATATATTTTTAGTATTTGAAAAAAGAAGCCCAGTGGCAACTGTGCTTAAATATGATAAGCTAGCACTGGCTGATGAATGCAGGGTTTGAAAATTTCTAGCGTCTGGAGTTATGTGAGTGTGGCATGGAAACTCAGATTGTCTCTATTTGGGGGTTCTCTTTCTTCCCCCTTACACCTGGCAAAACTTTTCTTAATGGCTTATGTCAAAAGTTGTGTTTTGGCTCTTCTTCTGGAGCACCTCTCACCCTGTACTGTCAGGATTTAGTCACAGATTCTCTGGATTGTATTTCCCTGAGGTTAATCTCACCTCTTAGTCATTATTATAACCATCCAGTCCCATACAGTGATGGCAATAAATTGCATTGGTGCAAATGACTAAATGATTAAAAATTCAGATTGTGAATATGTCTATTTGTAAAAATGAAAAATAATGATCTAATAATGCTTTGGGTGCCAAACTCAAATTTAGGGTATCTGTAGGGAGAGGTGAAGACAAGGGTGAAGAAAAATAAAGGAAGGTGTCCTTGCTCTGAGCTTTGTTTTAGGGAAGCATTTCTCAAACTTTAGTGAGCATCAGACTCTGCCACTCCTCTTACTGCTGGACCTCCCTCCAGAGGTTCTGATGCAGTTAGTCTGGAGCAGGCTGTAGAATTTGCATTTGAATTAGCAAGCTCCAGGGTGATGCGGATGCTGCTGGTCCAGGGACCACGCTATGTGAACAGCTGCTTTAGGGTGGTGGCTCTCAATCCTGGCTGCACATCAGAATCAGCTGGAGAGCTTTAGAGAAGGTCCTGATGCCTGTGCCAAATCCAGCCCAATTAAATCATCTTTGGGGGGGGGGGGCTGAGGTGGACATCAAATGTCAACGCGTTTGCAAAGCCTTTTCCAAGCTCCCCAGACAATTCCAATGTAAGAGACACTGCAGGTCACTTGCTGTATGAGAAAGGTTAGAGTGTGCCTTATGGACATAAACAAAGTGTCCTGGTTTTGTGTTTTGGAGGTAGATCAAGCAGTTATATAAACTTTAATTAGTTTTGATCACAGCATAAGCAGCGGAGTTAGATCTGCCTGCATGTGAGAAGGAAAATTTGAAAGTCCACTTTTCTTATTACAGACCCACAAAGCTGAACAAACTCCAACGCAAACGTACACTCTCTACCAAAATGCCACAGGAGATACTTAGACCAGTAAAGAGCGTAGGTAACAAGCCTAATTTACATCCATTCACTTAGATTATTTGCAAAGAGCTTGAGCTGAAATGAAAGCCTTTTCCTTTGCAGCGCCTGATGGGGGGAAACCACACTCTCTGTTCGAAACAGATGGCCCTCGGAGGGGTTTTCTCCGCAAGCAGGCAGCCCAGGCCTCAGTCCGTGTTTCCGATGCGGGATAAGGAGGGGGCATTTCCTTGTGGGAGAAGCCTCATGCCCCACGCCCCGTGGACTGGGCGAGGCGGGAGGAGCAGCTCAGGGAGGGGCGGGGCTCCGGAGGGAACAGGCTGCGCTCAGAGCGGCGGCCGCCAGGGGGCGCCCTTGCTCCCCAAGTGGGTGACGCTTGGGGTCACCCCACCCTCCAGCTGCTGTTTTGGTTCCTGCTCTGTCACTCCTCCTACCCCCACTGGAGTTTGCCCCCTAGGGGAGGGGGTTTGGGAAGGGGAGAATCTTCCCCAAGATGCCGGGGAAAGGACAGGCAAATTTAATGAAATCATTCTGGTGTGGCATTTAAATGGTCAAGCGAAGACCGGACTTGCAATGAGAATTACCAGCTTTGTGCAAACTGGCGCCTGCTCGCCCTTGCCTACCGCCTTCCTTCTTCACACTCTCCAGGGCTGGGTTGAGTTTTTAAAAAATCTTAGCCCCTAAAACTTGGCCAGAAAATTTCCCCTTAAAGATAGCTATCATAACCTGTCTCTAAGCTCTGGGGTGACTGCTGCTCGTGCCTGTGTCAGCAGTCACAATAGTCTCTCTCTCCTTTAAGGAGGTATCTGGCTGTATTACTCATAATTTGGAAAGAATATCACATTCTGGTCCCTTGCTGAGAGGTTTGACTGTTTCAAACTCTGTTGAGAAGAAAGCAAGATTAATCCCTTCCCATTTGTTTCCCACCCTCCTCCAAACCAGACGGGAGGAGTGTATGCATATGCATTTTTAAAGAGTTGAGGATATAATTCAAAGGCACGTTTCCAAATTAGCTTCTCTGGGCAGGGAACAATTAAAACTGGAGTAATTCATTTATTCTAATGGAGACTCTGCATATTTTAACATAAAACCTACTGCACCACTAATGTCCTCCCTGCAAATGTTCAAGGTAATTGGGAAGGCTTTATCACTCCATTAGAAGTGCCGAAAACTGTGTGACAAAGATGAAACTGTTCTGTCCTGAAGGCTGGAATATTGGTTGGGAAAATAAAGGAGCAAAAATCAAGTAGATTCAGAATGACGGGTAAGTTACTTGTTTATGACTGCATTGGGGTAATTTATAAAAATGTCTACATTAAATGTACAGGTTTTAAAGCACAAAACTTTCCAATGATCATTTTTACACAGGATGTACATGTTTTAAAGCACGAAACTCTCCAATGATCACAGGTCATAGACTGTCTGATTTTTATGTGAAATCCCATTTTAAGAGTAAAATATAAGTAACATAGTAGACCCTAGTCTATAAATAAAGCCTTCTATTTATCATTTGTTTGCCTCCTGAGCCCCATCTCATCTGCTGATGGCATGCACATGCTCTTTATTACCAGTGCGAGTACAGCTGGGAAACTAATGCCACTCACCATATAGGATGGTTAACATGGACACGGGCATGACAAGGAAACCCAGCAGCATATCAGCTATGGCAAGTGACATCAGGAAATAGTTGGTGGCATTCTGCAGCTTTTTCTCTAGGGACACTGCCATGATGACGAGTATGTTTCCAGCAATGGTTAGAATAATCACTACAGCTGTCAATAAAGCAGACCAGTTTTTTTCCTGGAGATGAAGTAAGGAGAGACACGATGGTGAGAGGCACCCTTCACAGGAAAGGTTGGTTCGATTTTCAGAGTCGACTGTCCAGTTAAATGCATCAGAAGTGTTAGTTTCTCCAGAGTTAAAGTCATTACTGTAGAGCCTGGTGTCTTCATTTAATTGCATTAAGGAGTTCGTAGTTGAGCTCAAAGAAGTATTTTCTTCACAAAGAATATCCATGTCTAAGCCAGAACTTGTAGCAGATGAGGTGTGGAAGGACTAACACGTTATAGCCTCTGCTCACCATTCACCTTGATGTCCCCATGCTCTGTAACACTGAGACTGGTGTACATGCTGGTCTCCCGGGGCTGGATTTTTGTCTTCCATTATTACAATTATTACAATGATAAAGAACCGAACTGTGGTGGCTCTAAGTTTTCTTCATTCACAATTTTAGGAGAGTCCACGGTTTGATTTTATTATTTTCTCGGCAAAGCGAGGACAAAAAAGCAGAATGAACTTTTAGCATAGAGGTTGCAGGTTTTTTTGAGCATTTGGGGAGATAAATGTCCTGGACAAAGAAGAAAAGTTTTATAACTACTGGGACTCTTGTTTATATCTCATTTTGTTGGTTATGCCGATAGTACTAGTTTAGCCACAGTATTATTAAAATAGCATGCAATCAGAAACAGTGGGGATGTACACATTCTACATTAAGAAAGTCAATTAAAAATACATCCAGTGTTAATCCCATAGTAATTGGATGTACTTTGGGTTACAGTTCTCAGCCATTCTTAGGCTGAATTGCCACAGCTGCCGTCAGGAATTTCAGCTCCCACAATGTTGCTTAGCTAATAAAAGGAAAACAAAAAAAGTCTTAAGTAAAGATTAGCAGACAACTTTGCTCACTAGAAATTCTCATTGAAATGATTACATGTTGGCCAAGCATGATTTCAAACCGGAAAGAAAATTACATAGCAATAAAATATAGCGGCACGAGAACTTACATTTGTCTTCAGGGTCCACACATGAGATGCAGCGAGTCACAGAATAACAAGTGTATCTCTCACAGTAATTAAACTGGTGTAGAATCCCCTCTTCTTGATCTTCCACCAGCATAATATGATAGTAATTTGGTTTCTGTTTTGCTGACTTCAAAAACTGCATGCAAGAGCCGAGCCAGCTCCCGCACTGCTAGGATCCTGTTGGCTTCCTCTGGCACGGCTCGGCTGGGTTCCTCCCTCCCTGTGCGGCTCGCCTCAGCAGGCACACATTTAGAAATCATTCACGAGCCCCTCAAAGTCACACAAAAGAACTGCACGGGAAAGTAGGAAGAGCTGTCTGCACCAAGGGACTCCTGGTTTCCACGGGAATGGAGTAGCTCTCTGGCTGCCTCGTTCACTTCATCAGACCTCCCTCTATGTGTATGTCATAAGCTGCAAGGTAGCAACAGCCAGGAGGGCGGACCAAATAGGCTTTTTCTTCTCCCTCTTTTTGCTACATATTAATATTGGGAAGTTTTCCTTTGCTTTTGAGAGAGAGAAACTGGAGAAATGGCCTTTCGTGCAGATTCCCATTAAGGTGGGTAAGTGGCACTGTGGTAATTTTTTAGGCTGAAGGGTGAAGAGAGAACATAAATAAGGCTGAAAAACAGTACGTCCTGGGAGTGCTGTGAGCGTCCCGCACTTCCATCCAAAGCCAACAGTGTTTGTGTCCAGAGTGGAATTACTGACGTTGGCCACATGGGCTCAGGGTGGCCAGGCACATCTATGGTGATAACTCTGATTCACTATTAGCACTATATTTAATAGATATGCCATTGAACTGGCTTATTTTCTTCAGCAGAAGTATGCCACCCAGATGTTATTCAAAACCTCACATGTGGTAGGAAATAAGTTGGTTTTGCAGTACCAACTTTTTCCCCCACCCGTAATGACAACTTGCCTTACTTGTAAAGAAAGCCCTTTCCCAAGTAGGCTTCTCAAGGAAGCAGTTCGATCTCTCTATTTTTGCAGGCATGAAAATATTTTCCTCAATAGTTGGGTTTTTCTAGAGTTCCATCACCTTCTGTTCTTCACGTTCTCCCTAGACAAATTCAGTTACTCTCATGGCTTCAATATGTTTGTGGCCAAGTCTGTACCTTCATAGCTGATTATTTCCCTCAGTTCCAGACTTAAATCTCCAGCTGCCCATTGGCTCCTTCCATGGTAGCCTATGAGACCTCAACCTCAGCATCTTCCCTCACTCTCCATCCCCCTGCCCTGCTCTCAGTGCTTGTTCCTACCCATTCACTTGCGTGATGGAATCACCACCTCTTCAGACAGCTGCTGTTATCTATAACTCTTCATTCTGGCTGCCAGATCCCACTTAGTCTCCAGCGCTACCTCTGTATATGCATATTTCTCACATGTCCTCTCCTGCAGCCTGCAGCTCGCACCCTGTGGTTGAGACCTGGGCCATCCATTTCCTGGGTGGGTGCCTTAGTGTCCCCCTCACTGCCCTGCCTGCCACCCTCCTACCCCTCCATGTCAAATGTGCACACTGGCGACCAGGCAGCGGAGAACACAGACCTTAGAGTTCCTTGGTTTTGAATCCTAGCTCTGTAACTCATAAACAGTAGAACCTGGCATCATCTAGTTGCTCCCTTTAAAGCTCAGTCTTCTCACTTGTAAAATGGGATAATGGTGGTACTTTCCTCATAAGATTGTAGTGAAGCTAAAATGAGATAATGTGTGTGAGTATTTGGCTCATGTCTGGCTTACAGGGAGTTCTCAAGGAATGTCAGCCACTTTCATTCTTACTGATATTCTTACTGATACTATTTAATGACAGAATTGGCATCACTCCCATGCCTGCACTCCTGCAGTCCCTTCCATGTGGGGCACATGACACTTCTCTTCATCTACCTGTACCCTGCTTGCCCCACTTTGTGAGCCTGGACTCTGGTTACTCTCCCAGTCAGCCTATATGCAGACTGAACTTACATGTTTCTGACCATTTTTATGTCTCTGTACTTGTACTTCCCTGTGCCTGCAGTGCTCTTATCATTCCTTGTGTGTGTGTGTGTGTGTGTGTGTGTCCAGCTGGCAAATTCCTGCTCAGTTCCAGAGCAGCTCTGGATCCCAGGCCTATCACTCATCGCCTGCGTGACCTTGATTAAGCTACTTAATCTGTGTTTAAGTCTCCTCATCTGCAAGTAGGGAATATTAATAATTAAAAGACCTCAGAGGATTGATGTGAAAGCCAAAAAAATTTACATATGTGCCTGGCACATTTTAAGCACTCAGTAAAGGCTAGTTGCTATTATTCTTACTAAGTTTACTGTTCCTAAGCTTTCCTTAGCCCTCTTTCCCAGTGGAGGCAAAGACTATAGCATCTTCTGCAGCCTTCTATTTTAACACATCACATCTCATGTAAGCCTCATAAAGGCAGGAACTGTGTCTATCTTGTTCACAGCTGGGCACATAGTGCTTAAGTATGTTTGTTGAATGAATGCATGACAGACATCTGTGTAAATGTCTTTATTAGATGTTGAACTTCATTTCTATGCCCTTAATATAGATGTAATGTCTATTACAACTATATTATACTATTATATTATCCACCGAGATGTAATTCATAAACCTCACATGTGGTATCTAAGCATGGTATCTCATAATGGAAGGTCCTCAATAGATGTGTTCTGATTGAATTGTTATTAGCATAAATTTAGATGAATTGATTGTTAAAAGGAGAACCAGGGAGGAACCTAGAACCTCTCATTCTTTCTTGTTACTTTATTGGGATACCAATTTAATTTTATTAAAGAGAACAAAGGGAAACGTGATACAAGAAGTACTCCAGTGTTAGGAAGTTATTCAAAAGTTTTCTGAGGTTAAATTTTACAGATTTTCTTGTTAATTCTGATGATCTCAGTCCATTATGTCTCATGAAGAACAGCTAGGCTTCTAGTCATGTCAAAACTAATCAGTGTTATGTGGTTTACACTGGGAAATACTTTTTTGGCAACTATGTAAGATTATTTGTAGTTTTTGTTGCAATTTTATGAATATTTGTTATGGACAAAGTAGTAGGGGCACAATCTAGGCTCCTGATTCTTTTACAGAGCTTCTTGGTTAATAGCATGAGAGTTAGATTAGGTAGGAATGGTTTCTTGCTGGGCAGATGCCCCTTGTGAGTTTGGTGAAACGAGTGTGTGTTGGCTGCTGTAGTGTGCGCTGTGATGTATCGCCCAGCTTCTGCTTCAGGCCTGGGACACTCAGGCTCCCTGCTGCTGAAGGATTGGCAGCTGGCTCTCCATTCTTTCTGTGAAGACTCCCCTCAGCCAAGAAGGCCAACTTGCCAGTGGTCATGCCCCTTCTCTGTAACGGCCAGCATGCAGACACTGGTCTGCTGTGAGGAGAGGATATAAAGGGCTGGCCCTCTTGCCTGATGGCTGAATAACTTTGGTTCCAGTGCTTCTATGGGATCCACTGAGGCCTTTGTTGTGCCAAATCCAGGTTAAATTTCCCCCCTTGTCCAGTCTGCTTCTCTTGCTCCCTTGTCGGTGTTGATCTGACAGCTCTCCCCACACAAACCTCTTGCACACAGATCAGTCACAGAGTCAGCTTCCAGGGGAGCTCAACCTGTGACCTATCATCTTTAGCTATGTTTTAATGCCTTGAATAACATCTCTGGCTGAGTTGGATGTCTTACACAAAACAGGTAAGTGTTGTCTATATAATGATGAATGATGCTTCCTTGCCATAAGCTTAGAGTTCTTCAATATACATCTGGCTTTGTTGTCTAATTACTGCCAGAAGGAATTTAAGGTCAACAATTTCAGAACTATATTTATTATCTTGGGCAGAATTTCTCTAGTCCTTAATTGGACCTTATATGGGAATACCTTTTATAACTAGTTCATTCTGGAAGGTTCACCACAAAGTCATTGCTTAAAATTAGATGTTAATTTTTTTCTTAATGACTTCAGTGGTATTTGTAGCCCTTGTTTGAATTTTTTCCAGGCTAAAGTTATTGGGTTTCTGAAAGTGTAGTGCCTTATAGATGTCAATGTATATGAGGAAAAAAAAGTTCTTTGACCAAGTAAGTCTGGAACATTACTGTATCATATAGTCTCCTCTTAGAAATATACAGTGCATAATTGCATATTAAAAGCTGTGAAAGATCCTGCAGTAAGGAAATTTGTTTATATTTATCTATTTCATTCCTCCTCTTCCAGAACACACATTGAAGGACACTTGCTTTGTCTAAATTGAGTTATATTTTAAATTTATTATAATGCTCTTAAATATACAATTCACTGAGTTTTGACAAATATATACACCCATGTAACCATCACTCAAATTAAGATATCCATCATTTTCATCATTTTTGAAAGTACCCTCCTATTCTTTTTTGACTTTAACTTAAATGGAAACATGTGGCCCTCCTTCCTAGTGGAGGCAAAGACTAGCATCTTCTGCAGTCTTCTATGTCTGGCTTCTTTCACTTAACAGTGTATCTGTGAGTTCATCCATGTTGCTGTGATTAAATTATTATTTAATGGATTGTAGTCTGAGAAACTGAAATGGCCTGGACATTTGGGATATCAACATTTATTTATTTTTCTTGTTCAAAGGAACATAGACTCGGTCCCTTTTCTTTGTTACATCTGTCCTTTTTAAGCTGCTTAATTTTTCAAGACAGTGCCAACCTTAACCTTCACTCAATTGATTATACCTGATTTTGTTATGAATTGGCAGCATAGAATTCTTTTACTCTATGATATTTAAGAATATGTCTCTAAGATTTCTGCTGCTCAAACATTACTAATGGCCTGAGAATGAGGGAAAAAAATATTAACAGAGGTTTTACTGACTGACATTTAATCTATCACTTCCTTTCGGTGCTCTGATTCTCAGGTTTGGAACAAGCCAGACCATCTGACCAACGTATACTTGGAAAACAATATCATGAACTACCTTCTGTTATGGCACCGGCTTGTATTAAAAAAAAAAAAACTAATTGAAATTAGCTAATGACTGTCATCTATCTTTTTAATTTTCTCTCAGTGGCATTGAGTTGCACAATTTTCATTAATTTAACAGTTGATAATTGACTGCTGTGTCAAGCAGTATTTTAGGTGCTGAGTATAACCATGAAGATGAGCATAGTTCCTGCCTTCATTTGTTCAAGCAATAGTTGGCAGTAGCATGGATGAGTACAGAGTTTAGGGAAGAGACATCAAGTAGCCAATGGCATATTGGTATTTAAGGTATGATACTAGGTGAAATCATCTAAAGAGTGAGTGGAGATAAAGAAGGGAAGAGGTCTGAGAACTGAGCCATGGATTACTCCAATATTTTAGGTCAGAGAGTGTGGAGGAACCTGTCAAGTAGACTGAAAAGGGGCACCCAGCAAGTTAGGAGAGATACAAAGAGAAACTGTAATCCTTAAGTAAAAGAAAGACCGTCAAGGAGAATGAGTGTGCAACTGGGTGAAATGCCTCCTGATCGGCTGAGTATAATAAGGACTGAGAAATCACCATAAAATTTGTCAAAATGGTAGTCTTTGGCGGCCTTGATAAGAACTGTTCCAGTGGAGTAGTTGGAATAACAGCCCAACTGAATGGGTTCAAGAGGGGAGAGGGAGGATAGAAGCAAGAACATCAGTTTCAGGTGAGAGATGGTGTGGCTTGCACTAGGGTAGTACTAGTGGGTTTGTGAGAAATGGTCAGATTCTGTGTAAGTTTTAAAGGTAGAGGGTAGAGCCAACAGAACTTGATGACAGGCAATGATAGGATATGGGATGTGAGAGAAAGAAGAGAGCTGCGTCACTTTGAAGGTTTTAGATCTGAGCAACTAGAAGGATGGGGCATTGTCCTTAAGAGAAATAGGCAAGGCTTCAGTGGGAGCTTATTTGGGGTGATTATCAGACCAGTCTTGGATATGCTAACTTGAGGTCTGTATAAGACAAATAACTATGTCTATAAGACATTGAACATAAGAGTCTGAAATAGAGCACAGAGGTCCAGGATGCAGATATAAATTTGGAAATTGTCAGTATATACATGGTTTTGAAAGCTGTGAGGTAGAATGTGATTCCCTAAATATCCGAGTAGAGGAAGAAGCAGTTTAAAGACTGAATCTGGAGCTTCTTCAACACTTAAAGGTAAGGGAGATAAGAAAGACGTGGCAGAGGAGATTGGGGGTTGGTGAGGAAGGAGGAAAAGTGAAGAATGTGGTGTTCTAGGAGCCAAGATAAGAAAATATCTCGAGGAGAGAGACCGAATGAAATATGGTGAAGCTGCTAAGAGTCATAATACTTGAAGAGCATTTCATTATGTGGGAAATCATGCACAAGCTAATGTTAAATAAGAATGAGCTCTGTAGTCCATGTTCTCAGCTTTAAAAAACCATG